TTGCCTTTCGTTGATATGTCTTTGCCCACACATGTTGGTTCTTGCAAGAACATAGTGACAACAGTACCTGCCGACAAAAGTCACATCTGCAATTGTGTATTTCCGGAATATGTGTGGATCTCGTTAACCAGGAAGAAGTATAAGTCTACATATGCCCGAACACGAGCCTAATGTTCGTCATTTAAACCTACTTTAGCAAGAGATTTTCTATGAACAATGATTTACAACGGGTAAAAAAGCAGGTGCTTGACATACCCCGTAGGGTCGTTAGAGTGAGAAAAGATAGATCAAGGGATAATGGGATCGTCGGTTCAGGCGATTACAGATTTAACTGCACTGCCGTATAATGGGAGTTTGAAATTAGCAAGTGCGCACACAAAACCATAAGGGGAGTGGTTATTGATCACGTAATAAGCGAGAGAAAAAATAGCAAGGACATTGCTTACTCGTGTACAGCTATCTCGGGTCGACGGAATACACTAATCCAGTTTCTACAGTAGTAGAGTTTATCAAATGGTGTGTAAGGGGTTGGGAGTGACTCATTCTCGAGTAGGGTTCTGGCACCGTCTGTGCATTAGTGCCAGCATCTGATTGTCATGAGGTATAGCAAGTAGTGTAGATGTGACAGAGTATCGTCAAGGCGTTTTTGAAAAGGATAGGGTAGCAGCATTAATTTCCTGTTTCGGGAGGGCGTTTGAATGCTGTGACACTCGAAGGAAGAAAACGTTTTGTCGACATTCCAGTCGGCTGTACTGCATGACCAGCTTAAACTGATCATCTCTTAGCGAGTTGCTTTGACTGAGTATCAGAGGTGAATGGCATGGGTGGTTAGGGTTTCTCAGGATCTGACACACCATTATGAGATCGCCCCTTAAACCCCGACAACATCCATAGTATATTTTGAGAGTCTTCAGCCTGAGTGTGTAGGGGAGGCTAGTCAAGCCTCTGACGCTCTTCGTTGCCCTACGTTGTGCAATATCGAGCGCGGTGAGATGGTGCTTGAGCCAGGGTTGCCACGCTTGAATAGCGTATTCCGCGTTCAGCCTCACGTACGCACTAAGCATTTTTGGAAAGACTGAAGGATCAAACTTCCCGAAAGCTCTGCTAAGAAGGCCGAGGTACTGGTTTGCTTTCTTATATGCCTTTTCAGTCTGCCTCAAACAACCGAGGTCATCTTGAACTAGCACGCCGAGATCGCACTCGTGAGAAGCCCGCTGTAGAATTTGTGGTCCTAGGCGGTACTTGTGCATACTTTCGTGCCGTATGCTGAGAATTTGCACTTGGTGACGTTGAAATGCAGCTTGTTCTCGATGGACCATGTGTACGCTTTGTCCAGGTTCTCCTGTAACAATACGTGACTATCCACTGCAGCTATAGTACGCCACACCATTAGATAAGCAAAAAATAGCAAACAGTTTTAAGATAGCACGCTTGCGAGCTCATTTATGAAAATCAGGAACAGGCGGCGTCCAAGTACTGAGCCCTGAGGTACGCCACACTGAACTTCGATGGATTCCGATAGGTTGCTTCGAACCCTCATATTCAGGTAACGTTGCACGAGAAAGTCTCCTATCCAGCCCAGAACAGGATCGCCGATTCCATATTTCTGGAGTTTGTGGAGTAGAATGCGATGGTCTAGACGGTCGAATGCCTTTGAGAAATCCAAGTGGGCCGCGTCGATTCCAACACCAGCGTCCACAGATTCCGTCCAGTTTGCACGAGCAATCAAGAGATTAGTGGTACATGAGCGATTTTGGCGAACTCCGTGCTGCTCCGGAACGAGAATTTTGTTGTTCTCCAAGTACCTCATCAAAGCTACAGCTACAATGAACTCCATGACCTTGGAGATCATAGGAAGTAGTGTTATCGGGCGATAATTTGTCCGGTTCAGCATGGCTGCCACTTGTATAGATTGGCGTGATGATTCCGTGCTTCCACATCGTGGGGACGTGCATCTCATTTAGACACCGTTGAAAGAAAATTGCTATTGGCGCTGCGAAACTTCTGGCAGCAACTTTCGATGCCTTCGTGCGAATGCCGTCCGCACCCTGGAAGCTGAACTCGCGCAGAGACATCAGCCTCTTCAGTACGGCTGCGGTGGTGAACGATATGTGATTAAGCCCTGATGGCGGCATTATCTGTTTAGGCAGGATGTATGATGACTGCACGCTTTGGAAGGTACGGCCAAATTGTTGTCCAAGAACGTTGGCCACATCTTGTGCGGTTTGGGTTAATCCGCTTATTGTGTGCAGAGTAGGATTACCGCGCGTAACACGGCGCAAATTGTTTACGTGTCTGTATAGCAGTTTGGGATTGGAGCAAAAACTTTTTCACTAGACCTTGTTGGTTCTTCAGTTTATCCTCCCGGACGAGTTTGACACAGTGGTTCCTTTGTATTGTGTAGACATCCCAGGTATGGTCGTTCGGCGAGGCTGTGTAGGGGTGCCATGCAAAGTCCCTTAATCCTATGCATTTACGGGTCCTGCTCCTTACAGAAGACTTCATCCTAATAGGCCGGTAGTGTTTGGTTTCAGATGTGCTTGTCAAAACTAAGTTGTCCAGGAAATAACCAGCCAGATTATGCTATGATGATGTCGTGTTTTTCTATTTAATAATCCAGTTTTTTGTACTGCATTTTATCATATTGCATCGTTGAAAGCCCAGGTGTTAAGGGCTAAATATTCACCTGTTCTGGGTACATAAAATACTTTCTTGACTTGACTGTGTCCTTAGACGGGTCAAAGAAAAAAGTCACCTTCAAGGAAGATAAAGCAGCCTACATCCGGCTACTACATGAACAATGTTGGTAGCCGGCAACCGTAATCGTTTCAGCAACGAATCAGCACGAACTGCAACCTCCGGATGAGTGGATCGTCCGCCGACATGAGGATCGCATAAGCGCCCGAACTACTGACACACCAGCCGAAACGCAGTCTGACGCCATTCTGGCGCAGAGCAGGAAGCGGTGGGCAGAGAATCTAGACCTACAAGTGGAACTGCACTTCGGCAGTCCGGCCGAGTTCGCAAACCAGTCGAACGTTTGCAACCCGGACTGTGGCGTTAGTCACAACGGTGAGGGTATCACGTGTTTACATAACGGCTGTTGACTATGCTTATCTTACTCTGACTTGTCCTTTACACACACACACGCACGTATGCATGCATAAACATACACCTACCTCTCATCCCTGGTCAATTGCGTCACATAGACGTTGATTGTACTGCCGGTCCTCTTAGCTACAAGCCGATATAAGCACTGCTGGGAGGAGACAGTCAAACGAGCCAAGAGGCCCTTATCGAAAACCAGAGAAACTCATAAGGATTTGTATCCGATGCTGCATGAGGTTCGTAATACGCCATCCTCAAACATCAGTCTTAGTGCAGTGCAACGACTGTACAGCTTCCGCTGTACTTGTACACCCGGTTTTGCCGTCATATGTGTAACTGCAAAAGAGCTTATAAAACAGGATGGCGGATCAGAAACGGGGTTACGACTGCGGTACCCGGACACTACCTGTGCTAGCAATTAACGAGGAAGTATGGATTCGGTCCATACCGGGTGACCATGAGCGATGGCAGAAAAGTATAGTAACAGAGGTCGGAAAATTATGAAGTCACTAGTGGAAAGAATACAGTCATAATGAAACGGGTACAGCTGGAAGTAACTCGGGAACGAGAGGGTGAACATGGAGCAAGACACCCGACGGCTCACGATGAGCGCATAACCAGGAGGTAGTATAGACCATGCGGAGCGTGTCGAGTTTACAGCAGCCCAGATGCGGCTTGCCACGAAAAAGAGGAGGATGTGAATGGAGTATGTAATCAGAGGAACTGGATAAATCTACATGATAACGCAAGCAGCAAGATGGTCGCAAACGAAGGGAGCAGACGCCTTTCCGTTGCTTGGTTACTATTTGAGTGCGCTGGAGTGACTTTGTCCGATCGAAGCAAAGGAAAATTATCATGGATGCAGTAACGATGTTGCTTATGGAAGCGACCTGGTTATTTAGATCCTGGCCTCTACAGGTTGGTTGTTCTGTTGTTTTCGTTCATATTATTTCGTTGAATAGACCTTTTGTCCCTGAGGGAGTAAGTTCTGCGACACTCATTAAGCAGTCTTCGCTCCTGAGACCCATGGCAAAATGCGTTCCAAGGACCCTAGTGCCATTGGAGGGGTGCCAATGAAGTGCACTGCATTACACAGACACACGCACGCATGACGCAATACACTCAAACCCTCAACCATGATAGAGGCTTTAATTTGACAGGCTCATTAAGTAATTATCGAATCCGTGTTCCCACAGAGTGCAGCCCATTGCGAAGCACGTACTGGTGGAACGCGGCTACTTGTCAATCTCCAACGAACCCATTCCTTCGTGGTGAGCCAAGAATAGGTGCTAGTGCATTGGGTTAGTAGTATAGACGGATAGGCGAACTGGACTGTAAGGAGTCAAAAACGGACCAAACCAATATCGTAACAAAAACAGAACGATTGTAGCCTGGAGATTGGTAGGCGCTAGGAAAATATGTTGAAGCAATGCTTGCCAAGGTTTTAAACAATGGCGCGTTAAGCAAACTCCGTGAAGACATTCGCAGATGAGAAACATGCTGGTGATCAGGCATACTGCATATAGTGAATGCTTGCAGCCTCAATGGGCAAGCTCGTGCATACTTCCTGGACTATTACACCTTGAGTAGTTGCATATTGAACTGTCTCTGATCGGGAAAGCATGTTACGATCAGCAATTTGGCAGCGTCATCGGCTAAGCTGCAGATTATTTCTCACTTACCAAACCATTTGCACCAGATCTAGTTATGATGGGTAACATAATCAGTACACCACCCAATTAAACTACGGTGCTAGGTAAAGTGTAAGTAGACCAGGTTACGCAGTATGCTAAGCTTCACCCACAGACAAGAAATATGTAACAGTTTCAAAGTCTAGTCGGAACAACCAGACCGTTAAATGGAAAAATGGCGCAATTATGCAGGTTGCGGATCCACGTGGTAAGGCAGTTAACTTGGTAGGAGACGAGTAATACATGAGACACCGCCGAAGGAACAATAATCTCGATCGCATGAAACACCAAGAGACAAAATAAGCTGCTTATTAAGATAGACAATGAAGATGGACAGTGGTGAGAGGTCACAGCTCGCGGGGCAAGTAGGATAAACCAAATGTTACACATACAGTTACTCATGTTTGTGAGCACAACAAAAGATTACAGACTAAAGTACAAAGATGGTGTGGGAACATAGGCGTGAAGGAACGAGAATAACATAAAGGCGAAAGCCTTGAGATCATTGAAGCTTGCGAAAAACCTGTCTGACGAGTCAAATGTCTTTGAACGACAGAGACCAAGCACCGGAACGTTTCAAGACTGTTTGCAAGACTTTCTACAAATAATAAATAAAGACATGCAAGTTAAACAGCATTGTCCCACTGTGCACAGCTCTAAGTATCGCTCTGTGTGCAATAGCTTTTGTATTCAGACGTGGTTAAGACATAAATGTGCACATTCAGATAGATTGGATGAGCGATAAAGTAAAAACAACGAAAACGCATGGAAGCTCTGGTGAACAAATCTGAGCCATTTTACCGTGGTGTTGGAGAATGTGCGAGCGAGCGTGAAGAGAACTAAGCTCCAACGAAGAGAAACGAAGCTACCGCAGGACAGAGACCATGACGTATTCGCGTGGAAGATCCTGGTATGGTTTGGTGAGTTCGTTTCCGCTCGACTCTGCGGATGATACGCACTTCCCTTTCCAAGTTGTTTTAGTCAAATACCAAGAATACTTTTGAAGTGCACCAGGGTCTTGCGATATCACGCGCTCTACCTTTGTTTACGGATTGTATTTGCAGGAAGCTGGGCTTCGTTTCATGAGTATTGTTACGGGAAAAATTAGGAATAAGCTAAATAAATCGATGACGACTGAGTTCATCGATTACCTCCATGCCCCAGTTTGCTCAAGTGCATTGGAGCGCAATTTACGGCGGCCACATTAATCCATCTTGTCCTAACGCTCCCGGTTTTCGCTAATATACCTGAAATATTGTTGAAGGTCACATTGACCGTGCTACTTAGGCATACAGCCATGGTAAGCGAGTACCGTCATCTCGCTCGAAATTCGCTGCACCAAACAGGTAAGGTAGCAGGACGCGTATCGTTTTTTTTTACAAAGGCGGCCATTGAATTCGTTGGGACCATCTAACGGTTCCCGCAGTCAAGTTATAACGTAGCAATACATTTACAGACACTGGATAGGAGTAATCAGCCAGGGATACCGCCAACACCTGTGAAAATTGAAAGGCACAATTAAAATAACAGAGCTTCAACGTCACTTTATCCACCTCCCATAAGGACGTTTGATGCCAAACCTCTCCGTATCCACGATTACCGTATACGTGCTTATTACATACACACTATCTCCATCATGATAGCTAGTCAGTTTATCGTTTGGAATGAATTTGCACTCGTGGGACGCAGGTGCATGCAAAACTATAATGGGTTACTCGCCAAAGGCGTAAACGAAGCGAACATCCATAAAGAAGAGCCGTCATGTCACATCAATAGTTGAATATCCGAAAAACCCATAGCTCCGTAAGATGACTGAACAAAGTAGCAAAAGGAATGGGGGAAAAGGTCGCTGGTGCAACCGGTCCAGTACGCATCATACTGATCGGGTGTCGGCGAGATGGGTAACAGTAGACGGAGGGTGACTGAGGAGACAGCTGGGGTGACGATAAGCCCACTGCTCTGTCGATTTCATGAAAGTGCACGCAACAAGTAGCTAAAGCGTTGTGGTAACAGAGAAAGAGAGACAGGCGATGGTAAAAAGTGAGGTGTGAAAAGAATGGCTCAACGGAAAACTGACAGGCTCGTTTATCCGTGAATAGCACAAGGATGCACCGCGGTGGATACCATGGAAAACGAAATCAACTTTAACCACATACCACACTCCGAACTACATCGGAGTACCCCAGTCCAATGATCACTATTTCTAGCAGTGCAGGTGGCATAGTTAGGCGGCTTCAACGTTTGAAGTGACTGACAATAAAATAAGGCGACAACAGCTGGAATGTATGACACCAGACAAGCATCCTTGGGACAGTTAATCTTGAAGCTTGTCCTTAACATATGGACTGACTGACAAATAATCGCAACCCTGTCAACACCCTGGCAGAACGTCCAGAAGACTGCAGATAAAGCAATAACCACGCCGTGACTGAAAAACTCGATTTGCAAAGCATGATAGATCGCGCAGTACCTATTTGTTATATAAGCGATGTCAGTTTGACTCAGTGGATAACTTCGATGATCAAAGCAAACTATAGTCGACAAGACGCGCCGATGCAAGAAGAAGTGAATTCCGTTCCCACAGGAATAAGTGAATCGAAAGCGTGGACCGAGAGCAAGTAAGATGGTCAAACCCTGCGCTCAAAGCAAGGTACCTGGATACTAAGTAGAATGGTCCGGAAAATATGACACACAAACACCCTTGGGAATTCTCGGTAGCAGATAAAGCTGGTTAGATCAGCGTAATCAAAGTAAGGAAGAGGCAGAACATAAGCGAACTAGCATAGATGGGATGATGTATACCAAATCACGTCCCGGCTGATTCGTGGTGCTTAAGCTCATACTAGTGCAAAATACAACGCAGAAATAATAAATGAAAGCGAAAGATGGGCTTACTTCACCGTATATCTTCATTCGCAACCGGTTCGTACGAAGCTGTGATAGTTTTCGCTCTCTGGCTAGCCGCTGCTCATCTCGAGGTAGCAAAGGTCTGAAAAGAAATGGGATACGAAATCTGTGGGTGCAAGCAGTGCAGGATACTATCAAATACTTAGTTGGTTCAAACATGCAATGTATCGGAATATGCGTGGAACCGACAAGGCGTTCATGATTTCAGAAAGTTTAGCATACAAATCGGTTTTTCCTCTTTTTGTATTCCGGTCTACAGAAATCGAACTGTATTCCAAATCTTCCGAATGCATGATTCTAGCATTCCACCAAGCTGTTCCGTTTATCGTTCAAGGACATTGAGAATGCAGCAGCCCCGTTGATAGCGAGGAATGAGTACCGCACGCTTCCCCGGTTTGTGAAGTGTCTTAGACACCTCGTTTGAGCTAACAAGATCAAAGGCTCCCACAGATACTTGAGCCAGAACAGCCAAAGATAATTATCTAAACCTCTAGAGCATTAACACTTACCCGTTTCGAGCTGCATACCTCGGGGGAATTTATATGCCTGACCATCCTCGAAGACGGGGAACCGCTTGTGTTAGACAGCGCCAGTATGTCCTTGACGGCGATGACGATTAGGTTCGTTTGTCAAGTCAGTCAATAGGGCTGATTAGTACAGCAGTTGAACGGAAACTATCCCAATTAAACTGAGGTAGATGACACTCGGCATGCAGGAAAGCACAAGACGGTCGTTCATCGCTCTGGGACCTGTCATCAGTGTGCGCGCACTGGGACCTGCATCTAAGCTCAACGTTTGTAACCAGAGACGTTTGTCGCTGGGCCACAGTAGATCCCTGTGGCCGACGAACTACACGACTAGCTGTGATACCGTGCGACTTCCTCCCCAATGATTTGCGCTTCGTTTCGGAGCAGCTTACCCTAGTAACTAACCTATTGTGCTGTAAGCGGCTGTGACCACCAATTCCACCTAACCCCCTTAGTAACTTCACGTGAACCTTACTGCGTTAGGAAAAGGTAGGTACTGCTATACAACTATGTCACCACTCCCAAGCGATTCAGAGCGGTTGACGATCATCTACCTTGTGCCTACAACAAGAACATAATGGTCGATACCGTAACCATAGACACACCGCTTTTGGGTAGCGGTCATGCGATGCCGCTCTCCGTTACATCTGCTACGCAGAATATATCCGTGAAAACAACGAGGAAGCCCAGGTTGTCCCCCATTACGACATTATGTCCGAGCTCGTTGAAGAAACCAACTAATTCTTCCTAACCGAGCAGCCGCCCGATGTCGTCTGGAGTAAATTCATCAACCAGTTCACCAGGCTAGGGGCAAATGTGTCGGAAACCAAAATCGTTCACACGAAGCAAACGAAGTCCTATCTGAGAAACCAGGCTCGAAAATACTTAGCCGTAAGGGATTCAGCCTGGTAAGCTAATAAAGCCTGTCCCAGCGTGCAGTCATGGGGTGCCTACGTAAGACAAAGAAACCGCAATACCATGTTGGTCCGTGAAGACAAGCTCCAGCACCAATAGCACTTACCGACGAAATACATTATTACTCCTAAAATGTTGTACAAGCACCTCAAGAAGTTCCGCAGAGTGCAGCATGTGATCCCGATTCTAGGTGCAGTAGATAGTCTGGTGCCTTGTACCTAAGAGGTTGCTAACGCGCTTCGGCAATACTTTAACCGCAGTTTCTAGAGTGAATCATCACCTAACCCGTTTTTGACGCAGTTCCACTGCTCCCAAAGTAAAGCTACGTATCGTTCACTGCAACAAAGGTGATGAAAAGACTATTGTCCTTGTGAGTGCATAGCTCTACTGGCGTAGATTACAAAAGGCCGAAGGTATTAAGGACAGATGCCATGAACATGGCTGAAACATTAGCTCGGTTTTTTCAACGATGCTTTCATAAAATGTGGATTCTCACAATGTGCAAAGATGGAACAGTCGCTCCCATTTATAATGGTGAGCATCATACAGCGCCCTCGAACTACCGTCCAATCATTCTCATATCGGTGTTATCCAAAATGATGGAAGGTGTTGTCGTAAAGACACCAATGGAATAGCTTGAGAGCAACAACATAATAGTTTCACAACGGCATAGATAACGCCGAAATCGACCTTGCACTACAAACTTGCTGCTAGCCAGAGCAAGCTGGACGGAATCAGACGATGCCAGAGTAGAATTCGACTTCTTCTACCTTCGATTGCCTGGACCGTCACATTCTCCTTCACAAGCTTCCTGGCTATGGAATCGGTGACTCTTTGCTGGGTTGGCTAAACAACTTCCTCATTCAACATCAGCTGAATGTGAAGGTTCACAGCGCCATTTTTGCCCAATTGACGTCCAATGTGGCGTGCTCTAAAGATCGGTACTGGGACCACGTTCACTTCTAGTTTTTATTAACGATCTTGCTAGTGTATTGCAGTCGAAGTTCTTGCTATTTGCGGACAAGGTCAAAATCGGGCATGATATTCATAGAGTGGACGATCACACGGCACTTCAGAACAATCTCGACTGGGTTTACCTGTGATCATCCGAAAATCGGCTCCAGTTCAACATGAGGAAATGCAAAGTCGTGAGCATACGCCATCAGCTTACGAATGAATACCGCAATCGCAAGGTGTCTCTCAGGAAAGCGACCTCGAGGTAATGGTGCAGAGTGAATTTGGTTGCTCGAAACAGGCCGAAAAGGCATCGAACAGAGCCCGTCAACATCTTGGACTCTTACAGATGGAGGGCTTTCGGAAAGTTCAAGCCGTCAATTTTCCCGCAAGTGCTGAACGCCTAAGTGAGGTCCTACTTGGAATATGCGATCCAAGCCTGGCGTTCCCGGCGCAAGTGTGACGTTGATGCACTTAAAGTTCCACAACCTAGAGCGACTATAATCGTCAGGGAATTGTTTCACCTATCCTACCAATGCAGATTGCAAACCATGGAATTGTACAGCGGTGAACATCGGCGTCAATGAGAAGACGTCATCTTGGTTTACTGAATACTGACGATCCCAAATCACTCTTGTCGCAACTTGCCGCAACGGAGCCAAAATACCAACTTGAGAGGCCACCAGATAAAGCTTGTCACTTAGTACAGTCGACTTGACTATCGATAAACCTATTTCTCCATTCAGGTGTCCCGAACATAGAACGCTCTTCCAACCCACGTCATTTTGGCCCCAACACCAGTGCTATTAAAAAAGAACACCTTGACGATACACTATCCCATTTGCATTACGTGCTATATAGTCAGGTTCACTCGGGGGACGAAATAACTCGAACCAAACTTTGTGTGCTCATCAGCGCACTGCGTAACAGAACGGGGAAGAAATCCGCATGGGGTGTTCATGTGAAGATCTTGGTCAATAGTCCAGTAGTGTATGAAGGGGTAAAAAGCATAACTTTACAAGACTCACAGGATGGATATGCAAAAGAAAAGTAAAATCAAATTGTTCCAACGTGGAACGTGGAATATCAGTGGTTAAACCATTGCACTTTATCAAACTGTTGGGTAGCAGTTATCACTAAGATGAAAGTCCAAGCGTCTTTCGGATGTCTAGTGAGTTTACCACATATCTTGCTAATGCATTGGAGTGAGAACAGATTCTAAGGGAGAAAAAATACTTTCTATCATTCAGTCACCAGAATCCCAATTACTCCCTTTTGGTTTGATAATATTCATTCCGATCCTCCTAAGGGATTTGTCACGCACTCTCTTTTTACACCTTATACATCCTTGTTCATTGTCATGGTTTGAAGCCCCACGCCGGACGCGGGAATGTGATATATTGTGGTCTCGAAGGGCGAGGACAGCCATTATTTACCTTTTCGAAAATCAGTGGCTGTTTGATTTTATTTCGATTTAAACTAAATATAACCTATTGAATAAAACTATTGGTTTAAGTTGGTACATTTGTGCTACGTATACATGATGATTGCTTATAAGCCTCGAGTAATGCAAATGCTGATAAAGATATGGTCCAATTAAGGGTCGTCTGTGGCTTTAAAGCATTTGGAGGTTCTTATCTTGCACTTTTAATGTCGACCAATTTCCAATGCCATACTAGTCAGTGTGACGACCCGTGAATATCGACTGTCTCATTTCTGTATCAGGGAGCAACCGTTATTGTGTGGTGTTTAGACGAGCTGTTGTCTGAAAACGAACACCAAGATTTGTGCCGGGGGTAGGCTTAAGTGCGAGGCTCAAGAGGCTAAGAAACGGAGCTGTCTCGATGGGACCAGTTAAAGGCGAAGAGAAATGGAATAAAGTGACGTTGGTCAACCGCATGTCAGTCAGTGAAGGTGCCTACCGTAAGGGGCAGTGCGAATGCCTTAGAGGCTAATCTAACTGGGGAAGTCCGCACTGCTCATCACTAAGTCAGCTCACCAGAATCCTGAGGTCAGGGAGAGACAATAGGTAGCACAAACAGCTCAATAGAGATGCAAAACGATCCTTTCGTACTTTGCTCCAAAAAACGGAAGCTACGGTAATTGGTCACACACCGATAGTAGAATGTAGCAGGAGCGGAATAGACATACAGCTGGCATCGAGTGAAAAATGGGTACAAGCTTACCGAACGCATCGCCGCTTAGCGATGCACGGATTTTTGCTTGATATGGACTCCCCGATGTCTAAAAAGGGAGACGAAACATGTATGTAATGAGGCAATGATGTGGCGAGAAGGTCATCGTCTACACTGAGCGGTGCCATAAATAGGTACAACGAACCTCTCGTGGAGTTTTATGCAGGAACTGTGACGAACACAATAGAAGAACCAGTGGAAAGGCACCGCGTATGCAGCGTCACATGTTAGCCAATTAGATAAGAGCGATCCTGTTTGTTGTACACTATTCACGCGATATACATAGTCAATTGCTTCACGCAACATTGAGAATCGGGTTCAAAAGAAGCGAGGAAAATCACCCTACCTTCATCGGCATTTCGGTGTAGGTGAGTAAAAGTACACCACGCCCCCTACTGATCTCATGTACAGGTCTTCCAGACACGGCAACGCATTGTCTTCACTAATATGATACTTTCAGCAGATGATTTTCACTGGGAGTAGAGTGGAATTCGGGCGCTTGAAGCGTCACCGTCACTTCTCAGATCAGGTACCTCGACATTCAGTTGATTGAGAATTGCGGTAATGATCTTGTAGAAGTCACAGGTGCCTGTGTAATACTGTGTACGAACTGGAAGTCGATTCACTAGCACTGGAAAACTATCAATGGCTGGAAGTCCGAGGGAGTACGGCGATCAAGTAGAGTAGTTAAGGTAGATAAATCAGACCTGTTTCCCCGCAATGTTACACGGACAGTGACAGTAGCGGTGATTAACGGCCTCCATGAATTCTGTTGGTAGATGTAAGGGTCAGCATACTTTTAACTGGGTTGCTGAAGGCTCCAACAATACAATGCAACACATCGTTCTAACGTCTACTCATCTGTGAGCAAGTATATAGTTGCACCAAAGGCTGAGTGAACAACACAAAGTGGGGTAAACAAGTTGGATCAAGTCATGACGCCATACCGTGCTTAGTCTAACGCCGCCGTTACTTTTACCGGCACGTTTCTCCTTTTGCCAAGCAAAGATTCTAGAATGCAAAATGGATGCATTCGAATGATGACACGATGGTTGGAAGCATGAGAGCTAGAAAGGGTTCACAAAGCATCCCGTGACGCCTTGGTATTTAGTGTATCAATGACACCTACGGGTAGAGCGGAAGAGTTGATAACTGCCTTGAATTCAAATATCAGATATGGATTAAAGCTTACCAACCAAAAATCCACAACATATTGGGCACTTTAAAGTGACTGCAACCAAAGCAGTGGATGTGACAAAACGTAGTCACAAGGAAAAAGACCAGAATGAAAACGCAAATACATGGAATCGTCAGGTTACCTCGTGCTGCACATGAACAGTCTTGACACACATTCCTCGAGGAAGTGAGATTGAGAGACCGACGTGTTACATCCGTAGAACAACAGTGGCTCGTAGAGTGAATTAGTCGTGTTTTCTTGCAACTTGAATTATCAGTACCAGGATATGCCACCCCGCGAGAATTGTGTCGAGAGTCAGAGATGCATTTGGGCTGCATGACACGCGTATGTGAGCCATTATGGATGACCCCGGCAAACAAACGCGCTCTTTCATCGTTCATAGCACGAATGTACTTTCGCTCCTCCGAAGCTAGTTTGATTCGCTTCTGACGTGCCTCTGACCGAGAGATCCAGCGTTGCATGCGCTGGCGAAACATGGATTGCAGCGTAGACCAAACATACTGCTCTTCATTGTTTCGAGCTGTATGATGTTCAATGAATCGGTGGCGGATGCCATCATCCAGACGATAAGTCGATCCCGAGGGCTCACGAACGGCCCGGTCAGTAAAGCCGTATGGAACTTCCGGAAATGAGGTTGGCAATTTGGGATAGGCTGCTAACAATGAGGAAATAGACTCATGACTGTGAGAGCAGCGAGCAGCCTTATTCATACATCAACTGAAGGTTGTGATGAAACTGTCAAAACGATCTATTCTCCTCCTCATCATCATCATCAATACAAGTTGACCGAGGATGAGAAACATACCTCAGCTAATTTGCCGCAATGCATAAAAGATAAGCGATGAACATAACAGGCTACAAAAACGAAAACATGTAACAATGCTTAATATCATAGTATGCATTGTTGGAGGAGGGCGAAGATAAAAGACAAAGGTGTTCATAACACAATCACCATTGAGATGGGCTCTTCGCCGTGTCACGTAGTGTGTCCAATCAAACGTGTTCAACTTCCTTCAAACCCCAGCCCAGCTCTGTTCCAACTGTGGGTTGGTCAGGCCGTCAAGCTGACTGAATGCGCGCCAAAGAAGGAGAATTGAACTCTACCTTGCGCCTGGATCCACCTTGAGCTATAGGACTGAAAAGGCGGAATTCGGGTTTCTCCACATTGTACTATTAGTTGTTGCGTACAACGTGCGCGTACTCACCGAAACGCATTGTGTCCGGTCGGTACTTGTTGTCTGTAGTACTGATGTGAGGCTCCAAAGGACAAGCCAATTCCTATCCGCTTGTCTAAAGTGTCTCTGATCGACAAAAGCATTTCTATATTTGCGGACGCATGAAATAATTAAGGCAGATGCATACTTATCTCTGTAGACATGACCACCAGTATATGCGAGTTGAAAAACTATCTCCTGTTCCGCGTTGCAAATAGGAAGCGGAGCAACCTGTGGATTGATTTCACAGTTTTGCAATGGTCGAACAGCAAGACGATATTGCCCGCATCATGGCGATCACCCAGTTTTCTTCAGGCTAGTCCCGAAATATCATAATCATGATAGCTCACAAGAAAGCGCCCACAGTGCAGCTTGCGATAACGTTCATGAGAAGGGAGACCACTCTAGTAAGCGCTGGACTAGTGTTCCATAACTGATTATAGACTCTAACGCTATCTACTTCATTTCAGTGCAGGGTGCATCAAATGTCCGTATCTTTCGTGGAAATAAGAATAAACAGAAAAAAGAGAAGTTGACTAAATTGGACGAGCTTTCGAAATCGATGGACACAGCTGCAGTCCGGATGGGGCAAGTGCGTGGCTGTGCTAGCATTCAATGTAGGCGGCAACCACGAGCAACACAGACACACATCATTTCGTAATGAATATCTGAGATTCCAGTTCTACAACAAGTCACCGGAGGATAATGCCCATAGGAATGTAAGAAAACACGGATGCAAAAAGATCTCTTTTCGGTAACTCACATCAGGCAAATAGGTTTCCAAAGATAAATGGGATACGCATAAGCTAATGAACGCTGAAACAAAAGTAGGGGAGAGTCTGACTTTATTTGGACGGAAGTTAAATTCGTGAAAACTGATTCCACGTCTATGGAATACATAAGCTCCGCGTCGAGTGTCGTTTGTTCCAGTATATTCGCCAATTCAAAGGAGTCTTTCAAACAATGCGTGCGCAAGAGCTTACGCACAGGTTCTAAAAGCTTTGCCAACCACCGAGCTACTTTGTAGTAGGGTGAGTTATTCATTCACATTATTGGACGTAGTGGAAGTTAAATTGATCGGGCCAATTGGTAAAGCCTGTGTTGTCAATGTAGGCTGAATTATGTTACTGCCGATAGCTGTTAGCCTTATGTTTCTCATAAGTGGAGTAACCAACCTTCACCCAAGTAGACCTAAGCAATATTCTCCTTCTGTGCATCTTACCGCAATATATATTTATTCGCAGACCGCATTACCACCATCAATAAAACAGTGAGGTTGCGAAATCTTTTTAAACAGTAGTGAGAATAAGGCTGAGGCACGCTTTTGTCTCGTACGGGACATCAAGTTTGGCTACACTGTGCTTGGTGCCCCGAGGGATTGTGATTCTGAATCTCAGCAGTTTCACAGACCTCAGGTTATCCAGTGTACATTTCATCATTCTTCATGTTGACTTGAGATGAGAAACACATCAGTTATTGTGACGCAATAGCAGTAGCGACCTCGTCCCTATGCGCCCCGCTCGGTGCAGCAGATTGGACTCCGTCGATTTCTCTCTGTGACGACCACAGCACCTGTAAGTCGTCTGGAGAGGTTTTAATCATACTGTGCTGTCAAGATACCGTCCGGCTGCCCAGGTCTAGACATAGGAATGGTCGGTGTTCCCGACCGGAGGAACAGGAGCCAGGGGATGCTATACCGACGCCTGGTGCAAAATGCGTGTGTATATGCATGCGTATGGTGCTATCTCTGTGTGGCTATCGGTTGATGAGCTTGAGGGCTTAAGGCCCGCGTGTAAATGAATGCTGCTTTTTACCCGTCCCTTTGCGTACAGTTAAGACAAGCCGTTGCACAAATAACCGTCTTGCTATACATCCGTTTTCTTGTTTTGCTTGACCATAGCAACTTGGCAGCAGCGGTTATCCTGAGCATTCATGGTAAATTCGATTGCTTCATCTTAGCCGTCTTGAAATTCTCCCACGGAAATGCCTACTATACACCAATGGATGCACCGAAAAATGCCTCACTGATAACCTTAACCTATTTGTGGTAGCAAAGGGGGATAGATGAACCAGCGGCAAACGACTTACTGAGACATCACACGGGTAGCCATATTTTGCTAATTTGCAATTAAATATGAAACAAGACTTACAAACTGTCCTCTTCTCCATTGACGGAATAGGGGGCGAAAAGTCACATTAAGAATTCGACGCATCTGAGTGAGACTGTAAATGAGTTTGTTCGTCCCCACCTTACTTCCCTGCGCCTATGATTGGATCATGCCAACTTGCCTTGAAAAAGGATACTCTTAAATCCATTCATCATTGGTGTCCTTGACTAATAAATACGAGAGCACCTGCCATCGGAAGATGAACAGATCCTGATCTGGAAAGACTCTGTGATATAGTTCGCCAGTGCCAATCTCGTTAGAAACTAAGGGTATTCACGTTTAATCATACAGCTTCGTATAAGACAAATATTCTTTCAGACTAAGCGCAAGCACACATCGTCTCAACTCCTACGGCGCGGAGAATTCCGTTGCTATCGCTGTGGTGAACGGCGTTCAGTCTTGGCTGATTGCCAGCATTTGTTTTGTATGCAACTTTTGCGAAAAGGTTATTTGCAAGGATCAGGTGTTTTATAAACGACATTCCGTCGTTCAGGAAAGAATCAAAGCTACAAATCGGATTCCAAAGGAGCTAAACCAGGAGTGGACAAACAACACAAAAGTACTTAACCGCAATAAAGCAGCGGAAAAACAATTTGTCATGTGTATCCAAATAAACGAACCACCTATATATTCGGAAGTTAATGCAGGTTAGGCGGTTACGTTTATAAAACTGGACCTTCAATTACAACTGGCAAAATTAAACCTTCGTATGCCACATTTGTGACCTTACAATGGACATTGGATGGAAGTACTGCACACTCCAGTTGCACGCTTCTCAAACTGCGATTCAACGCATCGCATCCGCGTGCACCTTTCTGTAGAATGCAGCCCGCGCTGAGGTTGAAGTCATTCTGGCACAAAGTTAAGTTAACACAGTGAAGGATACTTATGAACTGGAAGCTTTTCGATGAAATTTCACTGATTTGTCTCAGTAGTTCACAAGTTAGATGGCCCAAGCGATAATACGGAAAAGCACCAGACGGCCGTTTCGCCCTATTGGGATAAGTCAGTGGTGCGCATCCTTAGGACCTGAACCTATGACCACAGCTTGCGTCAGTTCGCCAATAGCTCATGCTAAAATGCCAGGTGGAGATGTGCCAGCCCACCAAAACTTGGAAGCCAACTGAGTTATGGCGCGACATACCCGCACTGCCATGCAGGCTCCTGCCACTGTAGTGGATAGTAGTTGACCTCCAGAGATTATGAATTCCAATACGGAGCATCTATGCACGCGTGGCATTGGAAGACTGGGAGTGTTAATTTGTGTACACCTATGACTAGGAGGATTTTGGTGAAATTTCGCCGGATTCAAGCCCGATACTATCCTAGAGTTTCGCAAGAAAAAAGCATACACAGCTTTGGTCAGTCAGACCAGTCCGGCGCATTGGTACTGAAACCACAGGCAGTGCCGAGCTACCTAGCTTCCCTGCCTCGAGTAGTAGTAGACACGTAACGACCGCGCTTTATCATCCTCAAACGGTATGGCTGAGGGCACTGTGCAAGCATGGAAGAATTTAAATAAATAAAAATACGCTACAAAACAACCAGATGTTCCGCTGCACGCAGGTCTAGGCCGTGCTCTTTCCGCTTACCGATATGTGACAAACGAAGCCACGAGCAGCAGCTCTAGGGGGTTGATGTTCAGCCATGGTCTGCGTACACGACTGGATTTACTGCACGGCAACCTAGCGCAGGAAGTTTGCAAAAAATAAGAACAGGCAAAGGGACACTGTCACGCGTGAGCAGACAGGGTCGTGGCAGAACCAGTCCCTATATGGACCCGTTTACCCACAGACTGAGTGGTAACTAACCATTGCCTAACAAACCAACAGGCTGATCAAATTAGCAGAAACATTGGACGGTGTGGTTGTACGTCGTCAGCTGGATCATATTCGACCAAGACCGTCGACCTCAAAGACAAGCTGTGAGCCAGAAGTGTCTGCTGCAGTATTGATCGTTAAGCAAGTGATTGCAACCTCCGTCCTAAACCAAACCACGTCACTCCGCTTCCCAAGTGCGATCGGTTGACCGCTTAATGCCGGAAAACTCAATTCACAGAGGGAGCGATAAGCCCACGTCAGACACACACAGCAGTCTGTGTGCGGCTGTGCTGCGCGGATTGGCGCGATGTGTGGCTACCGATTGGTTGGCTGAGTGGTTTAGAACCTGCGTGCGACTCAAAGCAAAATGCGTGAAGAATAATCTTTTCGATAAATCTCAGAGCCAAATTAGAGAACCGATTGGCTGCTAAAAGCTAGGTATAAATTAGAAGT